GGAGAGAGATTGAAATTCTGCTGATTTGTTTACTACCGATCACAAATTGATCGGTTTTGATCTAGATCTAAGGGTCGCTAAGAAGCCGGATACCAAACGCTCTGTCTACAACTTTAAAAGAGCAGATTGGTCTGGTCTAAACAACTCACTCCAAAACACCCCTTGGGACCAGTGTTTTGAACCTAATGATGTGGATGCAGCCCTCTCAAATTAGTGTGATGTTTTTCTGACCGTTGTTAACCAACACGTGCATCAAATCTAAGACCAGAAATATCCATGATCACCCTTGGATTGATAAAGAGCTATTGTCTCTCATTACGAGAAAAAACAAGCAAAGACTAAAAGCCAACAGAACAGGTTGTGTTCATGGCGCTCAAAAGTTTGAAGATCTTCGAAGCCTAACAAAACAACTTATCTCGCAAAAAAAGGAGCACGCAACTAAACTCAGAGACTCGTCACGGAAAACCCGAAACGTTTCTGGTCTTTCGTAAAATCCTCTAGGTCAGTCAAAATCACCGCGAACTTCCTTCGAAATAACCAATCTTTTATTACTGACAGCCGTGACAAAGCTAACCTACTGAACTCCTTCCACTCAGTCATTAGTTCTACTCAAACTACCACCACAACATCTAATCTCCCACTGTCTTCCGACACAGCCTTATCCCACATCCAACTAACACAAAACGAAGTGTTTAAAGCTCTTGACGGCTTGGATCCAAGCAAAGCATGTGGACCTGATGGGATGCTAACATAATCGCACCATCTCTCTGTCATATATATAATCTTTCTTTGTCCCAGGGTGTAGTTCCTGCTGGTTGAAAGCTCGCAATCGTTACACCTGTGTTCAAAAAAGACGATCCAACGCTCGCTTCTAACTATAGACCTATTTCCCTATTATCTCAAAAACGTTTGAACGCTGTGTATATAACCACTGCTATCCCCATCTATCACCACGTTTCTACCATCTACAGCATGGTTTCTTAAAGAGTAAATCTACGGTAACTCAACTACTCCATGTCTACCAAGAAATCCTAGATCACTTACCTGGTGGGAAAGAGGTTGATGCCATCCACGTAGACCTGTCCAAGGCCTTCGATCGTGTTCAACATCACATGCTTCTGAACAAGCTTGATCAATATGGCATATCAGGCTCGTTTCTTCAGTGGTTTCGTAGTTACCCGAGTGACAGATATCAACGCATTGCCTTAGATTGGCTCCCCGTGACCTCTGGAGTCCCACAGGGATCCATCCTAGGACCCCTCCTGTTCCTAGGATAGGGATCGAATATTGCATTATTTGCAGATAAACTCCAAACTATATAGGCCCATAAATTTGGCATCTCACCATCTATTGCAATCCGACCTTTCAGGCCTTCATAATTGGAGTAATGACTGGGGCATGACGTTCTACCTATCCAAGTGCAAAGTGATACACATATCTCGGGAAAACATCTGCTCCTCTGCTTCACTCCAATACCATCTGAACGACAAGCCCCTGGAAAGTGTGACACACAATGTCACACATCTCTGACCTGGGTGTCATAGTATCTAAAGACCTCTCCTGGGCTAACCATATTGAAGACATATGCACCAAGGCCAATAAAACCCTTGTTCTATTTAAGCGGGTGTGTGCTAGAGACGTTGTGGATGCTAATACGCGGAAACTTCTCTATTGTGCTGTTGTACGACCTAAGCTTGAGTACGCGTCGTGTGTGTAATCACCTTACTCGGCTAAACAACGTAAATTAATAGAGAACGTTGAACGCAGAGCAACGAAATTCATTCTGAACTACCCTCCTCGTGATGTTACCTACAGAGACAGACTAATATCCTTAAGCATTTTCCCACTTGAACACAGGCGTGAACTTTATGACCCAACACTATTATACAAAATAAAAAACAACCTTATTAATGTCACCTTTAACCAATACCTTACACCTGCAACTAACCCCTATGCCACACGCAACTTCGACCCTAACAGCTATAACAAAATCGTCTCCAATAATCAAGAATTTTCCCGACAATCTTATTTCCCACGCACTGTCATTCTCTGGAACAATCTACCACCGAACATCAAAGCCGCCCATTTCCTACAGATCTTCAAGCACCATCTACACTCTTATTACAAAGCCAAACTGTCTACCTACATTCCAACAGTATCCTATATGTTAAGTTAAATGTAATCTGTGATATGTTCGTGTAAGGGGTCGAATATCATTTGGAATTTAGTTTTTGTTTTCTTCCCCTGTCACAGCATTTTCTGGTTATTGTTATATCTCTATGTAAATGTATATCTTTTATATGTTTGTGACAAAATGAATAAATAAAAAAAATATATAAATAAATACGGCCAAAGCTCCGCTGGCTAGCGAAGCGAGAGATGGAGACGCTAGGTAATGAGCCAATTGAGAAAACCCGCTGAAAATTAAAACGCGGGCGATGCGATCTCTCGCTTCGCCACCAATTCGCCTTGTTTATATCTTGTACCGAAGCTTCGCCTTCTTTAATAAAAGAGCCAACAAAGCTCTGCTCAGGAGAGATGCGTTAAAATGAAACTTTAGGAGCTAGTGCAGCAAAGCACTCACAGCCATCTTTAAAACAGGGAATGGAGAATCCGGAAATATCTCTGGTATCCATTCATGTAAGTTGGATTTACTGTTGGTACAAATGGAAAAAGTTTCTTTGTACTTTTTCATGACATTTTCTTTTGTCTAATGTAATGGTCTTCCGCGCACACAATGTTTTCCACTAAGAGGAAAACCAACTTAAATCCAGCTACATGGTCATAGACCACACGCATAAGTGCTAATTTTCTCACTTAATTGCATTTCCGGTGAAGTACGAAGTGAGATATAAAATGCAAGTCTTATTTTAACCTGCGTGGCAGGCTCTCAATTTTATGGGGGGCCTGATTTGCAGCGGGCAGGATTTTGGCGGGCACGGGGGAGGATTCCCCATTCCCGCCAAAATCCTGCCCGCTGCAAATCAGGCCCCCCATAAAATTGAGGGGCTGTCACGCAGGCTAGTCTTATTTGTACGTAAATGTGTAGGGGTTAGGGTAAAACGCGGATACGGACGGATAGGCGGCGGCCGGCCGGAGGAGAGGGTAAAATATGGACGGACGGATAAGAGGGTAAACTGCGGACGGTTGAAAGGATAAAATGCGGAAAGATGAGAGGGTAAAATGCGGTAAAATCGCGTCTGTGTTGTATCGGCAATACAACACGGCCGCTCATCCTGTGAATAGCACATACTGTATAAACAAGTTCAAGTACTTTATCTGCGTAAATGAACATGCTTGAGCGTCAGCTGCTAAGCGTTATTGCTTCAACCAATGTGAAAGCATATGATATTACAATGTAATTATAAGGCAGACATCGTAAACCAATCTTGATTGTAGACAAATTACCCAAACCTGAATCTCGGCAATTTTCTTTAGCAAAAACGCTAAGATTAAATTAGTAAACTCAGGGAGACATATACACTGACATCACCTAGCATTCTTTACAATGATTGTTTGCTCGAAGGTGCTGAACTTGCCAACCTGGCCCAACCATATAAACAATTGCTTTATTCAGGCTACAAACATGCGGGAGTTATCTGTGCAATCTACTACCACTCAAGTACCGGATAAATACAGAGTAACTGTGGACGTTAAGCTGGAATTAGGCCAAATAAAAAACAAACTTGGTTAGCGTCACACTCTCGCAAATTTTCAGAGGCGGGAGGGCGTTTTTTTAAAAATTTTTACTCGTTTTTTAAATTTTTAATGGTATTTTTTGAGGGGATGGGGGCGGTTTTTCCGCCATATCGGTGATATTTTTTGTACTGATGTTGCGAAGGCCGCCATTTTGATATAAGAACCTTGTAACCCAAGCCCACGCGCTCCCATCGGTCAGTATATAGAGCGAAGGTCTGAGTATGAGAAAAATTTCAAATATTAAACTGTTTTAAACTGTAAAACGAAGAGATTTACATAAAAATTTTTTTAAAAATTCAGAGGGGGCAGAAATCGAGAGGCGGGCGGTGACGCTTTCCAAGTTTTCTTTTTATTTGGCCTTATCTCGGGTCAAACTGTACAGATAAATACAAAGTAAATGTGGACGTTAGGCTGGAATTATCTCGGGTCAACTCACGTAAAGCTACGGGTCCTGATAATTTTCCAAATTGGATTTTGAAGGACTTTTCAGATATTCTAAGTCTTCCGCTCTGTTCTATTTTTAATGTGTCGATTGAAGAAGCCTATTCGCCATCAATATGGAAATCTGCTGACGTCATACCCTCCCTTAAAACAACTCCAGTTAAAGACGCTTCCACTGATCTGAGAGCAATTTCATTAACGCCAGTAATGAGCAAGATTGGTGAATCGTTTATTTATAAGTGATTGTTAGATTCAATTGAAGATAGAATAGACCCAAATCAATTTGGTGTAATAAAGAACTCATGCACCACTGACGCCTTAATGCTTATGATTCACAATTGGTTTCAAGCTCTTGAATTGACCATAATGTACTTATAAATAAGTTGAGGTATATTAATATTCATCCTGTATTGGTCAACTGGATTATATAATTATTGCATTCTTATCTGGCCGCTATCAACGTGTGAAGTTGGGAGGATGTGCATCTCGTTGGATCAGTGTCAAGGCTGGTGTAGGGGACTATACTTGGACCACTACTAACCAATGATACTATAATATTTGTTGATGATTCTTCAATTTTTGAGGTTGTTCTACAGAATACAAGATCTCAACTACCAAACTTTATTTAAAACCAGCGAGTCGGTCGAGCGTAACTACATGGAATTAAATGGAAAAAAAAACCCAAAGGAATTAAAAGGATTACATTTTCAGATCACAATTTTGATCTTGGTAATCAGTTATTGATTAACAACGAGCCTGTTAGAGTTGTTAATAAGGCTAAACTTTTGGGTATTACCATTTCAGATGAATTAAAATGGAATGATCACATTCACAATATCTGCTCTAAAGCTAGTAAACGCTTATATTTCTAAGAATCTTGCAACGAGCGGGCTTTGATGTTGTGGACATAGTAAGAGTTTATTGCTGCTACATTCGACCAGTCTTGGAATATGCCTGCCCCATATGGCACTCTTGTTAGTCTTGTATCCCTGAATATTTATGCGAACAGGTGGAATCAGTTCAAAAGCGAGCCTTTCCTATAATATGCAAGAATTTGTCATATTCAGAGAACATGGAGTCTACTGCGTTAATGACACTTAAAGATCGAAAAGAAACTCTATGTCGTAAATATTTTAATCGAGTAAATATGCCAACTAATCGTCTTTTTAATCTTTTACCATCTATAGTAGTGAACATCAATATAACTTGCGTAATGACCGCCTTCCGTCTATTAAGGGACCGGTCATTATTTATGGCCGGGGGAGGGGCACTGAGAAGAAACATTTTCTTGGCCAAATTTTTTAGTGATCCAACCTTCAAAAAAAATTTTTTTTCTGCACTCAACCCCAGTACTCATTCAAAAATCTTAGACCAATCCTAACTTAATTTTGTCAATTTACTTATTTAAAAGTTAAATTGACTTATTTGAATTTTTGAGAGAACAAAAAAGCCAACAAGTATGAACTCTGTCACTTTATCATGACTGTTATGGCAGGTTCAAATGGAATACTTTGCAAATCGATATAAGTAAATGATATTTATTCGATCTAAATATAACAAATAATACCTTGAGTTAGATGGTTCATGATCAGTTACGTCAACCTCAGTTGCACATGTCGAAAAGAGAAGGCGTGCACGGAGATGAGGCAGTTCACCATGAGGGGACTGATCTGCCAGACGGTGACTGAAATTACATTTAATATACCTTTGACTTTGTTTTTGATATTTTATAGTAAAATTTCCTAATGAAAATTCTTGTTATTTTGTTCTATTTAATACAACATTTTTCTGTGGTATTTTAGTATTTTCCGACTTGATGATTTTTACTTTACCTACCCCTTGGCTTGGTGAATTTTTATTCAACCCACCCATTTCCACCCATAAAATTTTGTTTACCCAGCCAGATCGGCTGCTCGTGTTTTAACTAGTAGTTATACTCCTGTATATCTTAATTTTGAATAATGTAATTTATGTGAATTCTATAATGTAAGAACGTGTAATTCAATCTTTGACTGCAAAACGTTTATTTTTTGAATATATCTAATCTAATAAACGTTTATTTTTTTAATAAATCTATTCTAATCTGTGTCCTTTGCTATTTTCTGGATCGAACGCGGAAAAATTGGCCATACAGGAAGACCAGCCATACATTCTGCATGAAAAATACAAATACCACTCGATAAAGTCCAGCGAACATTCTTTACTTTAATAATATATCTAATTTCAACAAGTTACTAGCAGTTTCGACTAAAACGTTTAACGACAGTTGTACGAATTGCAAACTGCAAGCGTATATTTTAATGACTTGTATCTTTTCCAGACACGCAAACGCTTACAAGCATGTTTATTTATGTTGATATACCTTCATATCCGCATTTTACCCTTCCATCCGTCCGTCCCCATTTTACACTCTCATCCGTTCGCCTGCCGTCTATCCGTCCGCATCCGCGTTTTACCCTAACCCAACACGGTGCAGTTAATGGGGTTAAAAAGAGCACCGAGAAAAATGCAATGTCCGTTCTCCATTACGGTCACTGTCACGGCGGGGGACGAGCAAATAGTTTGAACACGATCAGAAAAATCCCAAAACAATATTAGGTGACTCAGGAATAATTAAGAACACTTTAACTTACAATTTGGGCCTTATTTTACCAGTTGCAACAATTTGCAACTGGTAAATTTCGACCTCGATGCCAAATACAACATGACCATTTTTCTGTGCAATTCTGATCATGTATCATCTAATCCCAAACCCGTCGTTCATATTTGTGTAAGGGCATTCATCAGGATGCCAATGTTTTATCTTGTTAATTTTGATAAAAAAAACATTTGCAATGCGTTGTTTTGTCTACGTGTTTATGTCATAACAAATACTATACACCAGTCACAAAATAGACCCGATTTGTACAAAACTCTTTCTAAATAGCACTTCCCGAATTGATTGGGATGATCGCAATCAAGTCAAGAGTAATCGTGTATTAAAGTGTCACTATTAGAAAAACAAAAAGGATGAACAGCCTGTGAATAATTGCAGCCCCATTGTCTGGTACCTTAGTCAAGGTAGGAGACAATCGGGCGGCCGCTGTTATTCACAGACTAAAGATACGATAGAAGACTGTTTGTTTCGACTTTAAGCTTTTATCAAGGCCTGTTGTGTGGGAAAGTTGATTTCGAACACCTTTTTCTTCAGAGTTAATTTTCGCCAAATAGAAGCACCTGGTATCCCGCGAAAGGCTACGAATTGCTTATAAATAGTAAAAACACAGTTTCTTAGCTCTAATTGCCCACTTGGTTTTTTTTCGGGGGGGAGGAGGTTATAAAAGAAGTTTAAGTATATAACGAATTTGTACTTGAATCAAGTCCACAATCAAAGTTTAAATGTATTTCGCGAGATATCAGTTCAGTGAATTTTCACACGGAAATTATTTTCAATTTGCACGCCTTTGACAAATTCTGACCTTCCCACCGACGCGAGCACGGCCGTTCCTAGGTCAGCTGCATGGTATTTTGATGAAGCAAGAATTGTGACTTGCTGCAGGTTTTCCCACCAATCAACTTGTCAGGTGGTTTGTTAAGATACACCAAAGGCAACATATTACATGCGCTCATATTACATGGGCTCATATTACATGCGCTCATCCATCTATTTCACCTGGGTGCTAATACAGACCTCACCTAAGATATCACGCATTCAGCATCTACCTCAACATTTACAGATTCTTTCAAAAGTTGATTGACAATAGTTCTCGCAAAAAACGTGGTTGTGCCAAACGCTCCCGACGCTGGAGTGCTGTAGAATGTCGATTGCTCCTAAAACAATAGGAAAATGTATAAAGGTCATACTATAAATATATTTATTATTTACTGAAAATAATTCAAGAGTTTTGATTGGCTAAGAGCTGTCGGAGAAATCGTCATATCCGGTCGGTAGCTGCCCAAATTTGGAGTTATGACAACACCGTGGAATATTGAAAACAAAAATACCATGTTTGACGTAATTTCGTGGTATATTGAAAAACAATGTACACGCTATGACGTTACGCTAATTTATGCGACTTATGCCAAAAGCGGGAAAATACAAATGGCTTCCTCAAAGGAAAGGTTCGCCTATTTACAAATAACTAATATTTACAAATAAATAATAAAACAATTATTGAATTCCATTCTCGCAGGATATCAATAATTAATAATTCCTCATATCCCTATCGACCTCATTCAATAATTGTTTATTATTCCTCATACAAAAATTTTAGTCTAGAATATCATTTCTGTAATCGGGCGTTGCATAAGCGGACCATTGCAAATATTGCATAACAAGTGCATGTATCATCCCCCGCCAGTTAGCCCCCTTTCCTCATTCTAAAGTTGCATAAACTGCCAAGCAGGACAACCTTTAATGGGATATCCGAAAGATTCATGAGATTACTAATTTCTGCTTTCGATTACTAATTGCCCCTTAAACAATACGAGGGAGTGTGAGGATATTTAATAAATCAATTTTCACGATCTTCTTTGTTCCATTTTATAATTTTTTTGTTTACTTACCTTTTAATTGCACTATTGACTTTACAGGCCGTGTTTTTGTAACCCAAACATTAAAACAGTTGCCTTAAGGTAGCATGTGTACAGCCGTAAATTCTCCCGTAACACAGGCTACCTTAAGGTGGCTCCCTACAATTTATTAGAAAATGGAAGATCTCCGATTTAGACCCAATTTTTCTACAATTTCTATTTGTTAAAAGATAAAGAAAGTCCAAGTAGAAAAATAATAACTAAAGAGTTGGATTTTTTCGAAAAAAAATGAATCGCAACTGCCGTTGCTATGGCAACAATGACGCTGCAATATGTGGTAATGGTTTATTCATCACATTTCAATAGCAAAGTATATAGCTAAATTATTATGTGTTTACAGGATTATGAAGAGTAAAATACACAACTCTTATATATTAATGAAGACTATGAGTTAGCACTTTCTTTACAATTATGTAAATAGTATATATAATTATAGTAAGGTATATAATAAAATTTAAAACACCAATTGTACTAAAACTATTATATTAATAGTATGTATATAGTAAAATCTAAAACACTAGTATGCTAAAACAATTCTACTGTAAACCTATATCATAGTATTTATCGATCGCATATACCAAAGGACTACTCTTAAAACGTTCCGTTCTACAAGTAAAATTATAGATTATTTTACTATTCGCTCTTGTTTCTCTCTTTTTGATGTTGGAATGTTTATCAGGTAGCAGTCCATGTAGTTTATGAGTGGGTTGCACCATATTTCAGATAAGGTCAATACACAGGTGCTTTCTTCGTTCTTTTAGTGGTATCATTTTACTTTCTATTAAGGCTTCATTGTAGTCCTTTCCAGGACAGATAATCCTGAGCGCCCGTTTTTGAATTCTTTTGATGTTGTTGCTTTGGTCTTGGGTGAGGTTTCCATGCCACACTTGCGCTCCATACTCGAGAGTGGACCTTATAACAGCGCAATAAAAGGACTTTAGATCATCTTTACACGCGCCATAATTCTTCAGGATCTTTAAAAAGTGGAGCCGTTTAGCTGCTTTTTTAATAATAAATTCAGTATTTCATATCATCATCCAGCCACATTCCTAGTAATTTATATGACTTTACCCGAGCAATAGGTTGGTTGTCAATATTAATTGGTGGGATGGTTGTTTTATTCTTCCTGAAATCGAGAATCATTTCTTTGCATTTCTTCACATTTAGTTCAATTTTTTCGTGCTTTGCAAACAGAACTACATTGTTGACATTTTCTTGAGTTTTTCCAATCGATGTCCCGCAGGTGTGATCTGATACTTCTATCACTTCGGATAAGGTCGTGTCGTCCATAAACATTGTTGTTTCTCCCTCATCCGTATAATTTTGATTGGTTGTTTCGGCCGATTCCCAATTTGTAACTGATGGGAGTTGATTGATTTTTATAATGAAAGCGATTGGACCTAATTTGCTGCCCTGGGGTACACCCCCATTAATTTCCATTCGCTCGGATTTTACACCATGATCGATATTTTGGGTTTGTGATATGACCGATATTTTGGGTTTAAAGTTATTTAGCTTGAAAATAAGGTCGGTTACGCCCATTTTTTATTTCATAAAAAGAATTCAATTAGTCTTTTGAATCATTGTTACGATTTAAAAAAAATTCTGTCATGGCCTATTAATTCAGGAGAAGCAAACACAACGAAATCCGATTTACGAGATGTTTCAATCATTCCAGAAGTTCCATTCCGCGTTACCCACAAAAATCAGCCGCTGATAGTCATTGACGGGTAGCACAACAGATAAATTAAACCAATTAAATTAACCGTTTATTTGGATACTTGGTAAGTAATTTCATGCACAAGTATACCTTTCCAGTTTCACCAGCAAATAATTCCATTGCTCCATTCACAAGCTAGAAGCAAACAGGCAAACACAATCAAACTTAAAAGGTAGTAGTCTACAATATATTTTGACAATAATTAGTTACATCCCTACCATGCAAGAACAAACTTAAAGATTTTACCTCATCTAATTTAATAGTAACATGAAACTTTAGTTCTTTATTTCTTTCAAGAACTGTGGCTATCACCATCAGTAACTGAAATACAAAAGGATCACAGATAATAAAACATGGGTATCCTCACAACTGGCAAAGTAATGTGCAAATAGACTACCACTGGGGCACTGGCTACTTTAAAGGTCGACTCTTACAAATAAGCAAATGCAAAATATAATATCCAATTTGCTTGTTATCTGCCATCTGTCAAACGTCTACGAAAATGGCAGTATTATTCCTGATAAGATGAATCAAAATGACGAATCACCTGAGATCGTGGGTTCGATTTTAGTTGTGGACTCATGACACTTGTGCGAAACGAGTCAATAACGCTGTACAATGCAAAAGTCGTAGGGTAATCCCTGGGTTTTCTCCGGGCATCCGGTTTAACCCCCCCCCCCAGAGAATGTTGACAGGGTGGGTTGGGATAAGCCCCATGTTGATTTTCTTACCGTAGCTGTGCTCCTTGGTCGTGAAGAGAAAGAAAGCTATCGACTTGACCAGGTTGAGCTGCGTCCTTCGTAATTGAGCTTAGCTCAGTAAAGATGATTTTTGCTTGCAGGTATATTTTACATTACATTACATTAAATTACATTACATTCAGCTCACTCCCCATTGGAGCTTTTCAGTGACCGATTACATCAAGTATTACGCTTACTTATGTTACTTACTTAGCCTGTAGACTATTTATCTTTACAACAATTGTGATATTACTCGGAGAAAACCAACGACCTTTTGGCAGAGCGTTGATAGACTCTTTTCACACGTATCCGTAGCGAGAATCGAACCCACGAAGCGCTTGCTATGACGACTGCGCCACAGAAGCTAAAGTTAATATACGACCTTATACGAAGGTTGTGAAACAAAATTCAAAACCAGAAACTTCAACACACCTCAACCAACAGCTGTCGGTATTCTGGTTTTGGAACACTACTTAAAAATTCCTCAACTTTAAGTGCAAAGTTTTTTTCTCCTTCCGTCATCTCGTCCATCGTGGGAAACTGAAAGTGAAATATGATGTGAAATTGAGGAAAAATTATCAACCTGGGTATCCAATAAAATTTTAAAGGAACCTTTGGTGACGTCAGCGTTATATTCCAACGGCTCTTGAAACTATGCTATGCACACAATTTCGTCCAACCCAACAATTATAAACAATCTAGACATTTGGGTATTAATATATTTGTTTTCAATGTTGGTGCACATTTTCGGCATATTTATGTTAGACAACAAACTTTGAAGCTTTTTAGAACTTTGCACGTGATATCATCGTCATCTCTGTTTCAATCGTCATGTCAATGCATCCAAGATAGCAAATTGCACAGAAAATTCTACCAATAAATTAAAAACTTTACCGACTATATCTTGAAATTATATTTGTTCGTCTCATTAGTAATCAGTGCACGTCAGCTTGTAAAATCTACGCATGCTCTGTTAAGATGAGCTAGCTTTCAATTTGTGGCCGCAATTTCTGGTCATGCTCTTACCTTGGGTAATGATGACCTCGATAGCTCAAAACCACTGTCTGAACGACCCAAGATTTTCCAAACTAAAATTAAATTGTAAATAATAATACTTTTTTGCTAATACTATGACAGAATTTTGATACGAATTTGATTTATTATAAGTTGATAGGCATTACCCATAGAATAGAAACCAGTAGGGACTCGGTGCATTGCTCCATTGAGTTGACGCTGTTCTAGAACATTTCTATAAAAATATCCGCGACCGAATTTAGAGCAAAACGTGCACTCTGTGCGAATCTTGAACAAGATAATTATTATTATTATACA